CGCCAAGCATCATCAGCATCAGCGGGGCGCTTGCGCGGTTGAAGCTCCTGTTTTCAACAAACAACGCCGAGCATCATCAGCATCAGCGATCTGCTTGCACGGTTGACGCCTCTGCTTGGAAACAAAACGTCAAGCATCATCTGCATCAGCGGGGCGCTCGCGCGGTAGAAGCTTCTGTTTTCAACAAACAACGCCGAGCATCATCAGCATCAGCGGGTCACTTGGACGGTGGATTCCCATTGCAAACAACACGACGAACATCATCAGCATGGTTGAAGCTTCTGTTTTCTAAACAGGACGCCAAGCATCAACAGCATCAGCGATCTGTTGCACGGTTGAAGCCTCTGCTTGGAAACAACATGCCAAGCATCATCAGCATCAGCGGGTGCTTGCACGGTTGAAGCTTCTGTGTTCAAAACAGAACGCCGAGCATCATCAGCATCAGCGATCCGCTTGCACGGTTGACGCCTCTGCTTGGAAACAAAACACCAAGAATTATCAGCATCAGCGAGCGCTTGCACGGTTGAAGCTCCTGTGTGTAAATACACCGCGGAACATCATCAGCGTCAGCGACGCGCTTGGACGGTTGAAGCTCCTGCTAGAACCTATCGAGCCATGCGTCAGCAGAACATATCAGAACGCCCAGAATCAGCGAAGGGCTTTTTACTGAGTCTTCGGGCTTTGGGCAAGGCCAACCCGAGCCTTCGACAGGTGGGAGCGACAAGGAATTTACCGATCCCGAAATTACTAAACTTCTGCCCTAAGCGCCTTGACCCTAAGGGTTTAGGGTTTAGGGTAAACTTCTATTCAATTCACTCATGGCTTGGGGCTTCCGGATTGCGGGTTGCGTGTGCAATGACTTACTTCCCCAATAAGCCAGGAAAGCAAAAGGCTAAGCTTTCAGATTACTACTAAACTGTAAAAGCCCAAAAAGTCTAAAGGTTGGGTATTGGGGAACTAAGATGAACCGTAAGCTCCTCAAGCCAAAACTCCCTAAGTGCGAATCCCGGCACCGTGGTGTAGGCAGCGTAGAGCATGGCGGCCAACAAGCACCTAGGCAGGATCTTGCAGCTTGGGGTGTGGGTATTTTTAGTTTCGGGTTTAGGGTTTAGGGTTTTGGGGCTTTAGGGCTTTAGGGGTTTGGGGGTTTAGGGTGTAGGGCGTAGGGGTTTAGGGTTTAGGGGTTTAGGGCTTTAGGGGTTCATTGTGTAGGGTTGCGCTTTCGGTTTAAGTTTTAGGGTTTGGGCTTGGGCTCTCAGCCTGAAAACTGAAAATGCCAAGCCCTGGCCATCCCAAACCTTCAAAAGTCGCTCTATGCGCTTAGTGCAAGGGCCTCAATAGTTAGAATAGGGTTGGTGTGGGCCCATTATACTATAATTAGAGTAAGGAACCCCAAACGGTATTGCATGGTGATTATTTAGGCCCTACATTAGAGGTTACGCTCTGGAAACACATTTTTGGACATTCAAAAAGCGTCAAGTAGAGCCTAAACCCTCAGCATGAATCCGCGAAAGCTCCACTACTTGCACCCTGAAGCCCTAAACTAACCCCTAATCCTAAACCCTTATCCCTAATCCCTAAACCCTAAAACCCCAAAACCCCGAAACCCCAACCCCAAAACCCTTAAACCCTACACCCTAAAGGCTCCAACCCTGACATAGGACCTCTTAGGGGCTGAATACCCTTGCCCAAAAAAGGTTCAGGGTTTAGGGCTTAGGTCAGCCTTTCAAGTCATAGTAGGAAGATCTAAGCCCCAAAAGGGTTAACGTGTACCTACTCCGCCCCCAAGAACTGGTTTAGGGCTTTAGGCTTAGGGTTTTGGCAGACTAACCTTGGAACGACTCTGACTCGGTAACTACGAATTAACCTTAAACTATTAACCGGGTTCCGGGGCCGCCACTGTCCAAAAGGGATTCAACTTGTCCTACGATGCTTGGGGTTTTGCCAATGTCAAACATTGCGGTTTCGGGT